TTGCGGTTCAGACAATACAAACATGCATTCTCAGCAGACATTGAAAAGGCCTTTCTCCAGATTGGAATCTCTGAAATTCATAGAGATGTATTACGGTTTTTATACTTTGATAATAATTACAATTTGAAACATTATAGAATGACTCGCGTTCCTTTCGGTGTGTCATGTAGCCCTTTCATTCTGGCGTGCACTGTAGAAAATAGAATTATTTTAGAGCAAGAAAATAGTTAAAAAATCCAGATATTTTTGAGATGTTGAACTGTTTGATCTACGTAGATGATGTTTTCTATGGTGCAGATTCTGTGGAACAGGCTTTTAAGTTAAGTACTGGAGACTATTGTGGGCTTAAAGATGCCGGAATGAATTTGCGTTAGTTTAATACAAATTCCGAGAAACTCAAAAAACTTTGGGATGATTGTGGAATAATTAAATCAGAAAATGAACTAAATAGTTCTTTAAAAGTATCAGGGCTTAACCGGTGTACGAGTAAAGATGTAATTTCCTTGAACATAGACAACTTGTGCAAAACATTAAATAGTTGTAGAAAAACCACAAAAAGAAATATATTAAAGGTGACTAATCTAGTAGGTTTCTTGGTGCCATTTGTATTACATGCAAAATTGATAATGCAAAACCTTTGGCAGTTGGGTTTAGAATTTGACGACGAAGTTCCAACTGAATGTAAGCAGTTGTGGTCCGAGTGGAGCGGTGAAATTGAAAAGTTAAAGAAATTTGAAATTTCTTGAGAATATTTCCCCGGCAAATTGAATCAAAATAAGGATATCGAACTTCCTTTATTTTGTGATGCATCTATTAAAGCGTATCGTTCAGTTGCATTTTTTAGATCAGTTGAAGAAGGGCAGGTAGCATTCATTATGGCAAAATCTAGAATTATGGCAATAAAACAAAAACTCACACTTCCAAGGTTCAGTTGCTAGAAGCATTAACTTCGGCAAGAACTTGCTAAAAATTTAAAAGAACTATTTTCAATTCATGAAGAAAAATATCTATCTGTGGACTGACAGTAATGATAGTGGCTTCACTGGATCCATAGTGCTCCTGAACGATTGGAAAATGTTTGTGAAAAATCGAGTATCTGGAAATACAATCATTAACTTGCCCAAGTAACTGGAGACATTGTAGTGGGAAAGTCCAATCCAGTGGACATTTTATCTTAAGGATGTTCAGCCGAATATTTGTTGTCTTCAAGATTATGGCAGTCTGGGCCAGACTGGTTAGTTGAATCAGTGAGTGCTTGGCCTAGTAAATTTATCGTGACAACGGAGTTTTCTGATGCTGAATTAGAGCACAAAAAGTGTATAAATGATACGACAATACTACCGTCTATTGCAGAAAAATCTAATTCTCTGTTGAATCTTGAAAATTATAGTAAATTAATTAGAGCTATTAGAGTAACTGCATGGATATTTAGATTTATTCACAATCTGAAAAATAAAACTGACAAGAAAATAGGACCCTTGATAGCAGAAGAACTCTTTGCCGCAGAATTATATTTGATAAAAGAAGTTCAATATGAACATTTTTCTGATGAAATTAATAGTTTAAAGTCTGGACAGTTGATTTGAAAAATCTCAAATATTTATGAACTAAATCCTTTTCTAAGTGAGGAAAGAGTTTTGTTAGTAGCAGGAAGACTACAAAAATCAACTTTAAGTTTTCATGAAAAGCATCCTATAATTATTCCCTCAAAAACTCATTTTACAGATCTTCTAGGTACGTGATGCATATGAACGAGTTCTTCATACAGGTGTAGCTAGTACTCTCATTCATCCGTGAAAAATACTGGATAACTTAGGATGCCAGACAAAATGTGAAACGTTGTTATAAGAAACTGTGTACTGTGTCAGCGTTATAACTTCCGACCGATGCGACAAGTCATAGCACCATTACCTCCATCTAGAATTGAAAAAGCAAACCCTTTTGATGTTATAGGACTGGATTATGCAAGTCCACTTTTCATGAAAAATGAAGATATGAAGTATTATATCCTATTATTTACCTGCGCAGTAACTAGAGGCATTCATCTTGAACTAACAAAAGATCTCACAACTAAATCTTTCCTACTTGCTTTTCGTCGATTCATATCAAGAAGAGGGTTATGCTCTTTAACATACTCGGATAATGCACGTACATTCAAGGCAGCTCATGCAGAGCTCAGAAAGATGTGGCAGGTATTAAGCCAGCCCCATGTAAAGAATTATTATGCAGCAAAGGGCATTCAATGGAGGTTTATCATTGAAAGAGGAGCCTGGTGGGGAGGATCTTACAAGAGACTTGTGTGATCCGTCAAAACAATATTAAGAAAAATTCTTGGTAGAACATCACTGCTACCTGAAGAATTGGAAACTGTACTGACTGAAATTGAGGTGGCGATAAATCGTCGACCCTTGACTTACGTCCAAGATAATGAGCCACAAGTTCTGTCACCTGCTCATTTTCTGCTAGGGCAGAAACTTGCTAATTTGCCTCCTGTCAAATACACTTATGAAGTGTGCAGTACTAAAGAAATTCTTTTAAAAGTGCATCTATATCGTGAAAAATTATTAAATAACTTTTGGAAAATCTTTTATAAAGATTATTTGTTGAATCTGAAATCTGGCAAATTGTGTGAACAATCACCGTGCAAAGCACGACTTAAGTGTGAACGATATCGTGATTTTACAGGATGAACATTTACCACGTAACATGTGGAGATTAGGAAAGATTCTCAAAATATTTACTGGTAGAGATGGACTAATTCGCAGTTCTGAAATAAAGACTGAAAAAGGCATTATAAAGAGACCTTTACAATTATTAGTTAAGTTAGAATGCTAAGAGTATTAATATTGTATGATAGTATATTTCTTATTGAAAATGTAATCGTAATGCTACTAATGTTGTATCTATTTTATTTAATTGCTATTTAAAGTACTGTATATTCACTATTTAAAGAAATGTATATATTAAAAAATTTTAAGGTTGTAGAAATGTATTTAAAAATTTAATTTAATTCTGAAAAAAAAAAAAAAAAAAAAAAAAAGACAGGTTTCTTGTAATAATTCTAGTATTTTAATTGAATTATGATAACCTTGATTTTGAAATCATTTGTTTAATATTATCTTGAGTTATATAAATTCTTGTTTTAAATCCTGATGCTTGAATAGGAATGTTATGAAAATAATCCTTGAGGAATGAAAATTTACTTCATATTCTTGAAACATATGGTAAGTTTTACATGTTCTTGATATTTATGTGACATTTCTTGATTATAAAAACTTGAATTTGTATTGAAATGCATAATAATTCTTGAAAATGTTCATGTCACTGATAATCTTGATTGTTCTGAACTACAATTCAGCCAGGCCCAGTGTGTAAGAAATTTTATGTGGAAATATATTTTAATCGCCAAAGAGGGTGTAAATCTTTCATGATGTTGTACTTCTTGTTCTTGGATCTGGCAGAGCCAGTTGAATGTGTGTTAGACGTGAATAAACTCGGCAGTTTAGAAATATGATTCGTAGTGTTCATTTACCTTGATATTATGTGTTATTTGAATTAGCATTTTTTGAACCAGGATAACTTGAAATTCTTGACAGTTAATATAATATTTTATAAAGTTTTTTAATGCAGATTGATATTTTGTTAGAAAAACATTAAATCTGATGCATTGTCTTCAAAATATAACTTTATAGAAATTGTGAAATCTGAACTTCTATAGTTAATGAAATTCATTAATACATAATTTCTTCCCATGCCAGTTCTGCAAATTGAATGTCTACCTTTTTTATTCATTTCTTAAACTCGAACTATAAACCTACAACCAATCAATTTTTATATTTCACTAAAATAAAAAATAAAAACGGAACTCTGGAATACCATGGAGAGAATGCAATTCAGTATTGAATACTTTTCACTTTAAACAACTGTAATATTTGTATTTTATTTGATTTCATGAATAAATATTAGCTACAGGTTACATAGAGGGTAACACAAAGCTTACTTATGCATTTCGTATTTGAGTACTTGCCAGTGCTTTAGCTATTCCTGGTCAACAGGAAAGAAAATAGTAGAAGAGAGGAATGCCATTGCAGTGAATCACAATGGATTGTTAACATAGTCTTAGGCCCACAGCGCTTATGTCTTTAAAGGTGCACTATGCTCATTTTTCTAGTTTTTGTGAGAAAAAAGCTGAATAATGAGGTGTTACAGGACATTTTGCGATCTCCTGGGGCCCCATTATCATCCTATAGCCAAAATCCTGCTGTAACTGGGATTCCAAGTTAGATAATGTGCTGCCTACACAGTAATTAGATCCTGTTATGAGGACCTGTGAAGGCACATGTATGGAAATACAATGCACAGATGTAAACAGAGGTCATTTGGTTAACTTAATTTTCAAAAAATAAGTTTGTAATAAGTGGATAATAAACAGCATATGGACTTATTTATAGATGCTTTTGCTTATTTTCCTCTTTTCCACATATTACGTATGAAGATTTAAAATGTGTCAGTTGACACCATGACATATTAAGCAAAGCTTTAACATATGTTTGCAATACTTCTCAAAATAACACTAGTATTTATTCCTCATACAATAGGATCTATATTCCTTTTTCATATTTAAAGAGCAAAACAAATAAATCTTAAATATTGTTTGCAGACATTATACTTTATCAGCATATATTTAATAAATTAACAAAACCTAAATAATTAACTCATTAAATACAAGTACAATCTAAAAACCAAATTACGAGCCATGCAATCCCTTATGTAGTACACAGAAATATTTTTTTAAATATTATGAAACTTCTGTATGTAATACATACAAAAATAACTGCAAACTAAATTCATAATATCTATTGTACACATTTATAAATACACACACACACACACAAAAAAAAAAAAAAAAAAAAAAAAAAAACATTTTCAAATATAATGTGAATTTTACAAATTTGATGTATGAAACTGGATGGTGAAATCTTCAGAGGTATGATACTTACATAGCTATTCTTTTCTTTCTCTAATATTGTGATATAAAGAAAATATATATTCTCGTTTCCCCCATATGTAATCACATCCATACTTTGCATAAACACTGAAATTAAAAACTACAATTAATAATACAATTTGAAAAAAATTAAGTGTATAATATCAGTACTTTCAAGCCATAATAAGAAATCAGTAGGGGGATTAAAATGCAGTTACATTATATGAAGAAAGAAAAAAGTAAATTGTAAATTCCAGTTTGCTTACATTCCAAAAATAGCACCACCTAAATGAGCTGCATGATCAAACAATTTCCATTTTGCAAACATACCTACAAGATCAAGGGCCATTACTGCTTTCATAGCCTATAAAAAATAAATTTATTAAATTTATTATCACTGTTTCAATATACATATATAAAAAGATAATTCACAAATAGGATACATACAGTAACATCATTTACATTTTTTTTCAATTTTATGTAATACGCATTTACATTTATTTAAAAACATACTAACTCTAATGTTATGTTTTTAGGGTTTTATAATAATTTACCAATTACTTTATTATTTTGCCTTTATTTTCATTTCTACTTTCTTCAGCTCATTCTAGGATGCAAATTAGTTAATGTAGCATTGCGTAAGCACAGGGTTGTCATGAATTCAATGAACACAAAACCGACGACAGCTTGATAAAATTTATGTACCCAAAAGAAATAATTTACAGTTCAAGAACTTTCTGCAAAATTGTGCTCAGTAAAACAGAGCACAATAAGGAATTGCACTTCAAACTACTAAGAACGTAAAAAAACACAAAAAACAGTACAAAGCGCATCTAAAAGACAAAGTTCTCATGGAGATCTCTCATTACTTCGAAGCCAGCTCTAAACTAAAAACTGAGAGCTCATGCTCTCTCCGATCTTATATAGTTTTCCTCCGGCTGCCGAGAAATCTCTAGTACCTTCCATTTTTCCGAATTTCTGAAAGTTACATATAACAATCAATTACAGTTATACAAGGAGCAGACCTAAATGTCACTAAGTTTGGCAACTTCTAGCAATTTTTCACCAATTTTGGCGACAAAACATTAGTCACCAAAACCATCAACAGCTTGGAGATATCTCACAAATTTAGTGGGATAGCCATTTACCTCAATGTCAATTAAACTGTCCCATTTGCCTTATTTTTCCAGCACAGCTTTGCCTTTTCAAATATTTCATGTTACATTACACACACACACACACACACACACACACACAAAAAAAAACTAGAAATTCACAATTCACATATAATTTGAGTAAAATTATCAATGTCAATTAAAATGAGTGATACTAAAACAACAAATTCAATAAATAGCATACAACAAATCAGCTGATTTCAATAAAAAACATGCTAGACTTGGATGTGGATATATAGTTAGACTTACGTAGGTAATTTATAAAATTTAGTTTTACCACTGCGAGTTGGCTTTTACTTTTTTATATGTAAATATTTTAGTGTATTATTTTAATTTGTGTTTTATCCTAATGAAGCTGTTAAATATTAATTGTAATCACTGTTCAGTTGGACATGCCAGCTATCAAGTATAGAGAAATTATTGGGAAAGACTTATGGTGTGATAACTGCACAGAAACCATATCTTATTCAAAATTAATTTGCCTGTTTGAAAAAGGGTTGGAGAAAGGTAATGATGAATGGTAGTAGATCTGCTGTTGTGTTTGCTAATGAAAATATTAGGTTTATGGCAGATTTTATTTTGGATACAATTGTTGCAGTTCCTGTTTCCAACAAGAATGAATTTATGGGAACTGTTTCAGTATATTTCTCTCCAGCAGAGGATTTAGATGAAAATTTAATTTAATTGAAAGATGATATTAAATGTTATAATTGTTTTCTTGTACTAGGAGATTTTAACTCTAAGCATTTTAACCGGAGAGCCAGGAGTATTGATAACGCAGGAATTTTAACTTTAGATTTCATTTTACAGAATAATTTGATTCTCTATAATGACTCCAATTTGTTGCCCGCTTTTGTATCTCCACCTGGAGAAAGTTGGACATATTTAGTTTTAAGGTCCTCTGGAATGTCCTCAATGTCTGTGGAATTAATTATTGAGCAAGAGGAGTCATCGAGCGATCATAAATATATTTCTCTTAATCTGAATGAAATATGTATGGAATATGATGAAGAAATTAGATTTTCATGTGATATACACAGAGTTGAAGGGTATGTTAAAGGTTTAAGGAGTAAAATGAAGAACAATGAAAGAACTGATAAATATTGTACACAAAGATAAGTTTGATGACTTTATTGTTAAATTGGAAAATATATTAATTGATAGAGCCACCAATAGGGTCTTCAGACTTAAGAAGAAAGATAACAATGTTTATGACGGACACCACAACAGCAGAGATTAAAACGATGGATTCACACATTTAGAAAACAGTATCAGATTAAAAATATCGACGAAAATGTTCGCATGGAAAGGAAGATCCTAAAAAGAAAAAAGAACAAAAAAGAAACTAGCTGCATATAAAAAGATGATAAAAATAGTAAAATGCCACAATAAAATACGTTTCTTTCTTGAGAATGCAAAATATTATGGAGGATTTCTTCATGCGCGGTTAGTGGTAAATCACCTGTCTCGGAAATGATTATGAGAGAGAAAGGTAACATTGATGTGAATAATTTTGAGGTTATAAAGGATTATTTTAATATGAACTTTGATGGTGATTCTATTGAAGATGAAGGTGGTTTTTTGGGTGTGGACTTACTGCAGGATGATGGATGCACTTCAGATGATCTGCCATTTAGTTTCATGGAAATTAGCAACATGGATAAGAAATTGCATAATTGTAGTGCCCCTAGACCTGATAGGATCATGGCCATTATGGTAAAATTTTTATTTGGGAAATATTCTGATTTCTTTCTGTTATTATATCATAAGTGCCTTGATTTATGCTATTTTCCAAAGTTTCATGGGGTGATCAGACCTATCTCTTGTTAAAATTTCGTGCAAAAGTTTTGGACAAGTTACTTATAAATAGACTGTACTACTTTTTTTATTAAAGAATGATTTTGTATCTATGAAACAATACAGATTTACACCAAAACGCTCCACTGAAAATGCTTTTTATGATTTTCTCAATATTATTAGTTCACAAAAATCTGAACTCCATGTGGCTATGGTCTCCTTCGATGTCTAGGGAGCCTTCGATTCTATTAGATGGACATCTTTGCCCTCCACCCTTAGATATTTGGGGATACCCAAAAATATTTATAGAATCTTAGTTTATTTAATGAAAGAAAAGTTATTTACAGATTTAATAAGGAAATTTCTATTGAAAGAATGATTTACAAAGGATGCCCGCAGGGTTCTTGCAGTGCTCCGCTGCTCTGGAACACCATAATGTATGGATTGTTAAAGAAAGAGTGCCCAAATGGTGTAAGAATGTTATGTTATGCTGATGACATTTTATATGTGATTTGTGGAAACTCTTTGGATAAATCAGAGAAACTGTTTTCATTTACTACAGAAGATTTAAAAATGTGGATTGAAAAGAAAAGCTGAGATTAAATTTACCAAAAACTAATTTCTTGTTTTACCCAAAGGGTGGGAAAAAAGAAAAAAAAAAAAGAAAAAAAAAAAAAAAAAAGAAGAAAAAAAAACTAGACCACCACAACTAAAATATGAAGGTATTTAGAATTAAATGTGTTGAAAGCCTTAAATATTTAGGGTTCCCCCCCCCCCCAAATAGTAAACGAATTTTGAAATATTTATAGAAGAAACTAACTCTACCTTATGTATTATAAAAGAAATTTCTCAGCTGAGTCATTAGCACTGAAAAGTAACATTATTAGATTAATTTACAAAGCAGTTATTATTCCCAATATATTATATGGTGTTGGGGCTTGGGGTTTCAGGATCACAGTGTTTTACCCGAAGGGTGGGGAAAAAAAAAAAAAAAAAACTAGACCACCACAACTAAAATATGAAGGTATTTAGAATTAAATGTGTTGAAAGCCTTAAATATTTAGGGTTCCCCCCCCCAAATAGTAAACTGAATTTTGAAATATTTATAAAAGAACTAACTCTACCCTTATGTATTATAAAAGAAATTTCTCAGCTGAGTCATTAGCACTGAAAAGTAACATTATTAGATTAATTTACAAAGCAGTTATTATTCCCAATATATTATATGGTGTTGGGGCTTGGGGTTTCAGGATCACAGACCTGCAGCAAATCAGAAATAAATTAGATACAATACAACAATCCTGGCTGCTGCTTCTCACCAGATCCTTTAAAACAGTCTCGATAAAAGTTGTTTCCATATTGGCTGGTATGCTGCCTCTTTTGATATTTTATTCTTTCTGTTATGGTAAATTTAAATTACATTCACAAAATGTTGATTTTATTTCTTATGGAGGTTTTACTAAATATAATACATGTTTTCCTGACTTTAATATCAACAGTATACATTTTGTATTAAGTAAAGCAGTGAAATATCGGAGAACAAATGTTTGTGTAAGAGAACTCGACATATTTACTGATGGTTCGGGTTATGGCAATAAAACTGGTGCAGCATATGTGGTTTAGTTGTTTGGCACAGAAATAGGTTATGGCAAAATTAGACTTAAACCTTACAATTCGGATTTTCAAACCGAAATGGCTGCTATCATATTTGCTCTTAAATGGATAGATGAAAATCTGACTGTAAAAACACACATTAATACATATATACAGACTCATTATCTGGTTTGGAAGCACTAGTAGATGTTGATAACATTAATATTTTGGTCTCATAAAAAATTGATGGAACGAGAAATGGAACATTTCGGGAAAAAGGAAAGATTATTTGTTGAACTTTGAAGTTTGTAAAAATATGAGAATGATAAGCGATTTTGATTACAATCAAATAATTACTAGACACAGGTGCTTCCCAGTATACTTGAAAAGATTTAATTTGCAAAATAGTAGTCTTTGTAATGCTGAAGGCAATTCACGACATTTCATCAAAGACTGAGAATTATTGTGACATGTTAGGGAAAAACATAGTAACATAAAGGAATTCTACAGCCACAAAAGAGAATTTAGATTTGCAAAGGATTCGATGAACTTTATAAATGGCAATAAAACAATACTGGGAATTTTTGTTTGATGTTTTTAACTGTATTTCTGTTTTAATCTTTAAATGCATTTTTGTTTGTCTGTGTTGGGTGTGCTGCATTAACCATAAGGCCAATTATTATTGACCAGGAGGGTTGCAGCACACTCATATATTACATTACATTCAGTGCAGGATTTACGTATAAGCTACACAAGCTTAGGCCTCCCCCCAAAAAATTGTCCGTTTATTATTATTTAA